CTTTCTTTATTTTTTTTTAAATATTTAATAATTAAAAATAAATATTTAGCGTTAATAATTAAACAATATTAATATTGAGCATATTATTCAATTATTAATTAGTATTAATAATAATAATTATTAATTCAATTTAATAACTAGGTATGTTTCATAACCTTTCAACTAAGTAACAAAAAGGTACTACAAAATTTGTAGTACCTTTTTGTTACTTACAAATGACATTTAATGTCATTATGGTCATTCAAAATTCTTGGCATAGCTGCTAACGTCACGCATATTTCTTTTTACTTGTAGATTGTCTTATTCCCATCTCGCTCGCGCACGCTCGGCGCCCATACTGATAATTTTGTGTCACGGTGCGCGCGCATCGTAAAATTTCACTCTCATAAAATTTTCATAACGCGCCTAAAGAAGTATAACTTCAAAAAATCAATGTGTGTTGTTTTATGCACAGATAAAGTACTTACCTTATTCTAAGCACGATTAATTTAAATTATTGTATGCAAATTTTTATATAAATAATTAAATGTGTTACAAAAAAGGATGAGAAAGAACTCGGTATACATATTGTGGTGTGGACAAAATGAAACACTTGTTTTACTGAGATAAGAACTAAATTATCAAAAATAATATTACATTTTCCTAATCTTTACTTATATATCATAAAAAAATATATGTGTTTTTGTACAGAAATAGCAAAAATTAACTGGCCGATTTCAAAAAGTCTTCCGACACGAGTTAACAAACAACAAACAGGATAGTTACCAAAATATTAAGAAAATTTAATTCAAACTATGCGAAGTCTGTCATGACCGTTGGTTTTGTTCATTTCACAAGGAGCCATCGTCGTATAAATCAAGCAAACAGATAACTGTTTAGGTAGATTAAGTAATTCCTATGAAACATTGTTCAGTATGTTATGCTCTTCGGCAAGCGCTAACAACGAATATTCAAAAGGACAAGTGGAGATAGACGGAACACACTTTGCGATGAGCTGAAAAGTGTTGGTTGCAGGCAAGGTTAGGTCAAGAGTGGGACGAGTAAGGGCAGAAATAATGGTTCTGGAGGAGGTCTTTGTGGGGATCGGCAAACGGACATAGCTTTGCTTTAAACTGATTGTGTGTAAGAAAAAGGAACTTTTATTTATGCTTTTATTTTCTTACCTTAGTTCCAAAAATGGATAACGGAACAATGGGAACGCGTCATAAAGCATGGGCCATAGACTTTTAATCAATCTGCACGAGTGGTGCGGGACTGCAAAAATGGCGCAGGTTAGTACGCGGCTTAATTAAAACCATAAGGAAAATTGTATGTTCCGGTACTCTGTGTCCGTTTGCTTATTTGGGACTTTGGTACAATTGCTTTTTTGAAAGAGGATTTATGATTGGACGTTTATACTCTGTGAGATTGGGTACGTTCCGTTAACTGCAGTTATGTTTTGATAGAAAGCAGTCTCCTATATAATGAAATCACCATCTTACCGTGTATTTATTAGATTATTTCTCGTATGTCGAGTGGTATATGAAACTCTAGTGTAATCGAAAAGCAAAATATATAGTTGACATATTAGAATCGAATAAATAATGTTGTTTGTAGTTTAGTTCTTAGTTACTAATAATATTTTTCTATTGTTAATTATTGTCGGCGATATAATAATAATATTTTTTTTATGTAATATTTAGACCGCCGCTGCATCGGCGCAATTTATTTTTTCGGAATAAAAATATATACAAAGTCGGTTTATGTTATAAAAATGTTGACAATACAAAAATAATTGCTAAATCCTATTACGTTAACTATTCAAACTCATCCACGTTTTAGGGTAGACTAATTGGGTTCATAACTTAGGCCACCAGCGTGCGCTAATATGGCATGGCGCCATCTATCCTACAAACAAACAACCTATGTCATAATAATATAAAAACCTTTTTCATGACAGCAAAGTAAGAATGTAATCCTAGTCGCCTACATAATCCCGCAATAGAGAAGCAATTCTTATGTATAAGAAATTTAATCTTCGCCAAATCGCTTCGTGGATTGTTTAGAATATTTACGAGCGTATTATTCAGGGGTAATCTTTGTGAGCGTTTTAATCTTTCGCTTTAACCTGTGATATTTTGTCGTGGAACACTATTTTCATTGTAGATAAGCTATATATTATTTTAACGAGAATTTATACTATGTTTTTATATCACTTGCGGTATTTACAAAAATATTTACATAGTAAACTAAATATTAATATAGTTAGCACGATACAATTATTATTATTGTATTATTTTCAATAACGGAAAATTTATTTTTTGCTAATATTTAACAACTTTACCAAGTTAAACATCCGAGTTGGGGATTTCTTTCTTTTTTAATAAGGATTCAGTGAATACTTTCAGAAACTAACATTTTGAATTAAATATAAGGGTCGCATGGCTTTCGCCGATTGCGTGTTGACGATAAAAAAAGAGAATTCTTTCAGAGCCATTTATATTTTAAGCCTGCGTCTTAAATCATACTTGACTGCTGGTCGGTTTGTCTACTGTTGTCCAATAATGAAAAACCTTATTTCTATAAAAAACTCTGTAGGTAGGAAAATTACATCAAATGATATCTTGTATATCAGAGGAGCAATGGAACTACGAAATTTAATGGTTAATTAGTTAACGATGACTTAAAAAGCAGTATCCTGTTACAGCGTATCATAGATTATAAATCTAAATGTCTAACAATCAGAATTTTAGTTTACACTTGAAACTATTATTATATTAATTTAATATATTTACTTTGAACCTCTACGTAAAAATATTGGCTTTTTTAATCATACAATACTTTTAAAGAAAAACGCTTTTTACCGGATTAAAGTTATGTATTATTATAAAAAAAAAGCGTTTTTCTTTAAATGTTATGAGTTATGTTAATCAAAGACAATACTACATACAATACTTTTAATAAAACACTATTTTGACCGGATTGAAGTTATGTATTATTATAAATTTACAACTATTTAACATAATTTTAAATTTATCCGACGTTTCGCGTGCTTTACAGCGTGCGTGGTCACGGTGACTAAAAAAAAAAGTTAAAAGTTATGTTAATCAAAGACAATACTACATACAATACTTTTGTTCCCCCTGGTTTTTCCACATGCGTACTCTATGTATAGCCCATAGACTATAGAGGAAGGCAGTCGCCGCTCAAATAACCGATTCTGTCTCCCTCGGGTGTCGTTCACAACCCGCTTTACTTTTTACATCACCTCTTGAATACGATTTCCATTACCTAAGTGTTTATTTCTATGAATTTCTGATTAGTTTCTTTAATATTTTAGAATATTTTCTTTATGTTATAAAAACGTAGAATTAGTTTAGAAGAAATCTATTTAGGATATTCCTACTGCAACACGAAGAGTAATAACATTATTAGTTGCTTGTTTATAGTTCCTTGTCATGTAAAAAGCCGTATTCATTTTTATGAGTAAATAGTCCATACATCTTTTTGAAGTTATTCTTCTTTTGGCGCGTAAGGGAAAAATTATGAGAGTAAATTTTTACGATGCACACCGTCACAAAAAACCGACACCCACAAGTTAGATTTAATCAACATTTTAGTTTTTTCTATTGTTAGTGTCGTTTTTTCTACAAACGTAGAATAAGTCTTGTTACCAAAGAAGTATAACTTTGTAGCGTGTACATAAGTACACACACGTTTTTTTTAAACCTTGAAGTACATAACATCAAAATATACATTATTCATAGTACGGATCATAAAGTACCAGGGAATAGCAAGAAAACCTAACGAACTGGTCTGTATCAATTGGTGTTAACAAAGGTGGCCTTAAAGCTACAGTGGTAAAGAGCAATTTACTTTGCACAATATTGTAATGGACGGTACATCTTGAACTCCTTTGAAATCCAACTGGCTACAATTTTAACATCATTGTGGCGATTTGAATCTCAAAGATTTCCAATTTAAGTTTCGCATCGCTTCGGGCATTTTGTTGTGGTCCAAGAATGTATGACCATTTTATTATTACGGATCTGTTACCGCTGTTACATTTTTATAGGAAAGTAGGAGATCAGCTTTCCGCATTAATATGGGTCGAAAATTGGGTCGCGATATTTTCTCACACCATAAAATTCAAAAATATAGGTAGGTAGGTACCCTAGGTTTTATGTATGACAATTTTTACGATAATGATATACCTATTAAATGAAAATCAACGATCTTGAATTAGCACGAAAACATAAAATAAAACGGACGAAAAAAGCGACGGAACGGCTTCCCGGCTATGACAAAAGAAAACGAGGAAGACAAATAAAAAGATGAGAAGATGATATAATATCTACGTGGCTACGTAAAGCTAGACACTGAGAAGAGTGGAAGCTGTTTTAGGAGGCCTATGTCGAAGGACAAGCTGTAAAAAATAAATTACGGCCGATTAATTGCCTATTAGTGTTTATAGTACTTCACATTTTCATGTACTAGGATGAGTATTTTACAGCAATATTATTATAATAAAATTCAGAAAATTTGTCTCGATATAATAAAACTTGTGACAAAATATATACCTAAATAAGTACGATAACGTACAACTCTCATCAGTGAGGTCGTGGCTTCTACCTGATCACCAATTTACCTGTCTTTAAAAAATGGTGAAAATAAGAGATGCAATCTTATGTGAAAACATATATGGCGGGACTGGATTATATTTACATATTCTTTCAATTAACCTGTGCAAAGCAACAGCGCATTTTAACTCAATACTTTTACTAAAGCCACTGCACTATTCCTTGCGCCGTTTCTTTAATAATACATACATATTTAAATAATTTTGCAGTGTTTAAATGCATTGTACTATATTTCCACGTGAATTGTTTTATTGAGCAACGTCATAATTTGGTCTATTTTACTTCAACGTGAACATTAAAATGTTACTGGCATTACTTAAATAACAAAAAGTTATATAAATACGTCTGAATATTCATATCATACATTAGTATCTTACCACCATGTATTCTATTTTACTCTTGTTATTGGTTTCAACGTCCAAAATTTTCTGTGAAAAATTTCATTTACTTCACCAAAATTATTACGACATTGATGAATCTGAGGAAATATTCAAACAGTTTCTTGAATATTTTGATAAATTTTACGACAAATCTGAATACAGAAAGCGATTAAATGTGCTGAAAGATAATTTATTAAAAATAAACCAGTGGAATAAAGAAGAAAATAGAAAGTATACTTTGAACGAGTTCGCTGATTTGACTGAGGACGAGTTTTCTCAAACATACCTTGGGCTTAATGAAATTATAAGCTCGCGTACTGGTGTTGATGTAATAGAATACGAATCCAAAGGTGGAGCTCCTGAAAATTTGGATTGGAGACGATTTGGTTACGTTTCGTCTGTAAAGCACCAATCACAATTTCATCGGTGTGGATCATGCTATGCGTTTAGTGCTGTTGGTAAGCAAGATTTGGAAACACCAATGTACATATTCCTTTAAATAAATACATATAAGATATTACATTGAAACTAACCTTAAGAAATAATAACTAAAATATATTATTAAAGGAGTACCATTAGGCAAGGTTCCGAAGATACTGGCAGCGTTCCCTCTTTGAATAGCTAGACTAATTCATCGTCCGAGGTAGCTGCAAGATCTCCGGTTTCCTTTGATGTCGACTAACCTTTTTGATATTTCTTTAAAAAGCCTTAAAGCGCTAGGACCCCACGGACCAAGGGTCTCAACACCGAATGGGACAAAATCATATTCGGAGTCTAGTATTTGCATGCTTTAACTTTTTCAGCCGCTTCACAAGCCGCACCAGCCACCACCACCACCTTCCTCTAATTTATGTTGAAAATAAAAGTTTTAAGATGAAGACTTGTACTTTGAAAAATATAAACATTGTCAAGGAAAAGCTTGTTTTATAGTTTAACTTGTTACCATTGAACCATTGTGTCTATTTAAAAAAATCCCTTATGTTTTTAGGGCATATTGAAAGTCGTCACGCTATGAAGCACAACATTACAGCTATTAATCTGTCTGCACAACAGGCTCTCGACTGCGATTATTTAGATCTCGGCTGTGACGGAGGAGACCCTGTACACGTTTTTGAGTAAGTTGATGAATAATTAAACACTATTACAGTCATTGCTGTTCTTTAGCAGTTTAAGCATATTTCAGGAGATAACTTAAAGGATATTTAGCTTTATTTAATACGGAATTTTGGAAATCACACTTTAGGTTACATAATTTTCCCAACTGATAATATCTATAAATGCCGATTTAAATTAGATTAATAATATTGTTCAGGAGATACATATATAATCTTATGTAAGATAATCAATTAAAGTAATTTGGCGCCATCAGAAATAACGTATACATGCATAATTTAGTAAGATAAACCACTCATTTCAGAACGCTTTCTGAACAAGGTGGTTCGATGAGAGATAAAGATTATCCGTATGTAAGCGTACAAGGTAAATGTAAAACTGATAAAGAAGAAATTGAAGTTAAAGTTAACGGTGGTACACAGTTAATGCTGAAAGACGAGGACGCCATGAAAGACGCAGTTGCGCATTTGGGACCATTATCAGTTGGTAAGCAACACAAATTCAAGTACCTATCTTAATTAGTCTCATTAAAATCTTGACCAAAGTTAATAGAAATGGCATTTGATCCTATAACTAACACCACAAGTATTATTAGGAATTTACAAAATCTGACTATGTAGCAATTATCAAAATCAAAGACTAGAGTTTTATCGACGTATATCCATATTTCTATCGTTTAATATGTCTTCTAACTTTCACACTTAAAATATTGAACTTATATTATACAGTTGGAAAATGATCCATATGCAGTCGACAACGTTATATAGTAGATAACGTTTTTATTTCAGCTATAAGGTTTACTCATAAAATGGCCGCAAAGGTTACTCATGAGATCTATGATGGAGCCTATTGTGAAACTAGTAGAACAAACAATCTCAATCATGCAGTGATAGTAGTAGGATATGGAAGAGGTAAATATATAGACAGCAATTTAACCGAGTGCAGAGAATGTATTGTAGGTATATTGAAATATTATGAGGATGAAGAAAAAGACTTGCTTGATTTTATACTTTAAAATTTTAAAACAATAATAATTAATGAATAAACAAAACATAAAGAAACATTGTGGATCCTTCCCTTTTTGCTGTCACCATCTCCTCGCGGTATTGCAATACCTCCACGTTGAGCGATGAAAGCACCAGTTGTAGTTACTGGTATTGCCAAACAGGCGCCAACTAAATTCTTTAATTGGTACTTGAATGACCAAGGTACCTTACTCCAACGTTGTCCAAAGGGAACAAATCAATGTTGGGGTAATTTGCTCCACGTCCGCCCATACTATATACTTACATCCATATATACTTACATTTTATCGAATTTATAAACGTACAACTCTCTCATATATAATATATTTAATTATATATTTGCATAATAATGTTATTATATTTTTCAGAGAACAATAAAGATTACTGGATTATTAAGAACTCTTGGGGTGAGAAATGGGGTGATCATGGCTACCTGCGCCTGATCAGAGGAGTTGGTGCGTGTGGTATTGGCAATGTTGCTTTTTTGGCTGATGTTGAATAAGAAACAAGTATTTTTCGTATAAACATGTCGGATATTCATTACCATAGAAAACAAAATTCATAATAAATAAATTTACCAGCAATACTTTATTTTTATTTTAATGTGACAAAAAACCAGTTGTGGACTTGGAATTAGCGCCAAGATACAAAAATATCGAAATGTCTGTGAGTTGTAAATTTTAAAGAACGAACAAATCGTAGAAGTTATGACTGTTTTTTTTGGCATGGCTGTCACTTGTTGGTCATGGTACAAAAAAAAATCGATTCAATTTAGGAACCAAAACTCATCAGCATCTCATCTGGATCGATTACCTTGCCATTTTGTAACTTACTTTTCAAACTCTCACAGCTGATACCGCTCTCAAATCAGCGAAGGAGTAATTTTACGATTTGGCATAGATCTGATAAACAATTACCGCGACAAAAGCGCCGATCGAGATTGGTTACATTTGTAACTAAAATTCGACACTCAAAATACCTACTTAAGACGGAATTACATAATGAAATTAGTGGCATGAAATCCACAGTATCGCAGTAACCATGGCCCCATCAACATCAAAGCTTTATTTATCTATATTTAAGAGATGCTACTCCAAGCACTTAAAAAAAAAGAATATTAAAAAAAACACGTTGGTGAATGAAACTTACTACCTACCTTTAAGTGGCCTCTTTGCCAGATGGTTTGTACGGTTAATAACATATTCAAATTATTCATAATTGGTTATTAATGGTAAAGATTTTTTTTCGTTAGGTGTATACACAATTTTTACTATATATTAAACAATTATTTTTATCTATTTTGAATTTAAACTAGGTCCTCCATAACATGTTCGATGTACTTTCCCTTCAATAATTAATCAATCAAATTTTTATCAAATGAAATAGTAAATATTTTGTTTTCAAGACGAAAATTTAGCCAATCAACTATTTTTATAAATAAAATGGGTAATTTGTCACGATATTCATAGACAACAACTCACTTGGTAATCCAGCTACAAACTCCTCCAAACTTACCGAGACGAAAAATGAAATGGTTAAACAGAATGCCTTGAGATTCCAAATATAAGGTGAGCGACGAAGAGAGCGCTGATTTAAGCGCGACCGCCGCTGCGAAAACAGCTGTGAGAGTTCGAAAAGTGAGTTACAGAATCGCAAGGCTGTTAGTGAGGTGCGAGTTGAAATCACGGATTATCAGAATGCTAAGGCAGTTCTAAAATCAAGGGCGTAGAACGGACAAGAAGAACTGGCAATAAACCCTTCGCCACTTTTATAAATCGACAAGGTTTTTTAGAAAATATTTGTAAGTTCCTCCAACTACATGTTAAAAAGTAAAATGTTGTAATTAAATAAAAAAATACTTAATAAATGAGAAACCCAAATATTTTTACCTCCATCAATAGACGTTGAAATAGGAGCATGCACTTTCATTGCTAAAGAACGATACGCAAACACGTAGTAATACATAGGCGTATGTACACCGATCAAAGTCCGATCAGGCCACACATAATATTCACATAGTTTAAATTTATTTATTAACAATATAATTTTAGTTTACAGATAATTGCTTATCAATAGTGAATACTAAAATATATACATTCATTTGATACGCTATCTAGGAATCTTTATCATAACTTACGTTAGTTATTTCTGAAAATGCCTGCTACATTTTTTAATCTAACATCTAATTAGCGACCACAATAACTGAAAATTAAATAAACAATTTACAATGATTTATTTACGTTACGTTCTACGCTTTTAGGCTTTTGAAGTTATGTCTTCTGATTATTATCTATTCTATCTAGAATGGAATATGAAAAGTGAATCAGCCAAATTTGGTGTCAACCAATTCACTGACTTGACTCCTGAAAATGTTTTTGGGTGTAAGAGGTAATTTCAGTAATGGGGAACCTCTAGGTTATATTCTGAAAGGTTTAATGTAGTAAAGTAGCCTGGACTACTTTGCTTGGAATATATTAGAAGTTTTTGGGCAAGTATTTACTATAAGCCCGTGCCTCACATCTTCTGCAAGATAAGCAAGTTTTGAGAAATTTAAAAATGTCATGGTTCGTAATTGAAATAAATAGGGTCGTTCAAGTATTACGTAAGCAGTATGGAGGGGGAGGGGGAGGGGGGGGACGGAGGGGTTGATTTTCTTATTTGGTAAATAATTACGTCAACAGTAATTATTTACTTATTTTACCTACACATTGTCTATGCTTGAAAACGAAAAGCATTTTCGAGGATTCCTACAAAAAAATAATACGTTTATCTACTATTATTTTTGAGAGCTTTGCTTACTTTTGCTGACAAGAGGAAGGGGGGATAAATTGCAGTAAATCTGCTTACGTAATACTTGAACGGCCCCATATCTGTAAGTACTTCAAACTATTTAGTAGTATTGCTGCTGAGATAGTTACTTTCTATTACCTATATTACAGCGTAATTAACAAGAAATAAATAATAATTTACAAACGACGTCTTACTGAACAACAAGTATTGGAATGACAACCAGTGTTGGAGGTGTGGTGGGGGTTGGCCACACTGGGTGTTCCAGTAAGTGTATACTTAAACATTAATATTAATCTTAAGTTTTCGGTACTTGTATAATTAGTCGGAAAATTAGTAATCTTTGAAAACTATGAATGAAGTGGTCAAAGCCGACCTATACATCTATAAGATACCTGGTTGTTTTATTTTAACAACAACAATATTTTCAGATCTTTAGCTTCCCAAGGAAGTTCGATAAAAGAGGAACACTACTCTCACCGACTCAAACTGAATAGTCGTGAAGGTCACCGGTGGAAAGGAGCTGCTAATATCAAGCGAACAGCAACTACGGACCACTGTCTATTGGTGAATTCTATGAAAAGATAATAATTTTTCTTTAGTAGCGGAATACAATAAAACGAGCCTTCACAATCTGTATGTACTAGAAAGAAAACCAAAGAATGTTATGTACTTCAAACGTCAAAAGATAACATCATAATAAAATATGGAAATACCTGTGCAATAGTCGTGTGTTATTACAATCTAGGTTAATTCCTTTGGATATGGTGCGAATCATGAAAAACAATTAGAATTTGGAATTCGAATATAAAATTAATAGGTCGAAATGCGAAATTATCTTCTCCGTGGTTACGCGTGGTATCTGAGTTATAATGGGGATTTTTGTTGGTATACGTGGCCATATACGTGGGAGAACAGTTTAAAGCCAAGAGACTGCTCTGTGTGGGGTCATGCTACTCATCAGTTATGGCAATGGTATCCTTTTCTTCTTCTGTCAGGTTCCCAATTTGGTTACAATACAAACGAATATTTAAAAACACGAAAGATATAAGAAAATAGATTGTTTACTCGTAGTATCACTAAAAAAATATTGCGGTGGTTACCGTGCGGTGGGCAGGTACATTTCATGGCGCTTATACCAGTATACTTAGTGGTGGGTTGCCTGGGTCATATAACACATTAAATAGTTGTATCTTTCAGATAGAGGCAACGATGGAGGCAACGACATGGGGTGAAGAAGTTTACATTCGTTTAGAAATGCCTGTGTCATAGGAAAATATGTGGCTCAAACATCGCCTAAAATGTTAAATGAGAATGTTTTCGAAGAATATATACCCTATATCACCCTAATACTTTAGATTTTTATTTGTTGACAATATAAATAACTTTTTATACTAGTGGGGTGTAGTTATGTATATTGTGTTTGGTAGATAGGGATTATTTTCTAGCTGCCCAGCTAACGTTTAAAAATTACCATTTGGTTTACGAATGCCTCGTTTCATTCGAAATACCTGTCATACTTTTTCGGAGTTGGAGCCCTAACAATAGGTAAAATCTGCTCTGGGGGCACTAACTATGATTATAGCAATACTAAGTATAGCCATACACATGCAATTATTTTTTTCATTACTAATGCGTACAGTTAAAAAATTCAAAATCAGCGCTGTGGGCACTAAATTAACAATGATTATAGCAACACTAAGTATCATACACTTGCAAATTACCTTGCCATACTGAGAACAATGTCCGTAACGTTATTTAGAAGGGTAAGAAGTACTTCCTTCAGAATTTCATTCCGACAAATAGTTTGTTATGTTGTAAATATCTGTTCCTTATTGGCTTTAATACTTTACGGTTTTTTTATTGCACTTATAACTCACAATATACAAGAATCAGATCACGCTCATTGGAATCGACATTTTACCATAATTATTAGAATTTGACAGCTCAAAATTCAAGACTGTTACGGTTTGAAGAAATTAGTTCAAGTCTGGAATAGGGCATTTGATTAATTTTATATAAATGTGACGATTTAAGTCGTTAAAACACAATATTGCACACAATTTTGGGACCGGACCTTCAAAAATAAGATAATATGTATAGCTCTAAAAATTCTAATCAACAGTTAATACATGTAACTGTTATGTAGGGCAACTTCAAGAAATAAATGTTTAATTGTTGTGCGTTATCGAGTCGGTATTTATCCTTCAATTAATAACCATTTAGGAATTTTTAAGTATTTTATTAAGAAATTTCTAATATATTTCATTACAAGTGCATTATTATTCATATTTGGAATTTTATTTGATAACAACTACTATATAATTAGATTTATTTCTACCATGTGTATCATACCTGACAATGTTCCGCTTATTCTGTCTCGTGTTAATTGTGACTGAAGTACTAACTTCAGAATATTCTTTGTTGGATCAGGATTACTATGACTTAGACCAAGCTCCTGAGATCTACAAGCAATTCCTTCAAAAATATAACAAAGAATCTAGCTCGGATCGTTTTGAAATATTCAAGGAAAATTTGAGAAAAATTAACAAATATAAAGAAAACAGCAGTCAAAACTCATATGGCATCAATCACTTCACAGATTTGACCTTTGAGGAGATGTCGGAATGCTATTTAGGTTTTAATGGTAACTTTACATCGGGCGATGTTATCGAGTATAAGCCCAGTGGGGAAAAGCTTCCAACTGAATTAGATTGGCGTACTAACGGTTATGTGACTGAAGTCAAGGATCAGATGAATTGCGGGTCTTGTTTTGCCTTCAGCGCCGTAGGTAGGTATTTTTTTTAGATTTTTAGACGTTATTATTGTCTAATAAAAGTATCCATTACTGCTGATCATAGTTACATCTCTTGTAATGCCATTTATTTTTATATTACCTATAGGAAATATCGAAGGACAATATGCTAAAGCACACAGCACCACAGCAATTAGCCTATCAAATCAGCAAGCATTTGATTGCAGCTCAACTCCAGATTGTAAACAGGGTGGTGTCCCACATAACGTTTTTCTGTGAGTACACAACCTATTTTCCTAAATAGCGTTATATTATTCTTTGGCTAATGGATTGATGATGTAAAAACTGTAATGAAAACAACATTCTTAAGTATTTTTTTAAAAAAGTCATTTAAACTTGTTGTAAATGTAAATAGTACTGAAGAGCAGCATTTTCATTTCTTAAGAAAATAATAATGACATATATGTTAAGTTAAATTTGACAGGACGGCCAGTGCTCCATTAATGATATGGTCAATTTATACCTAAGCTAATAAATATACCTCAATGCAATAGGATTGATATTCACTTTTCAGAGCTCTAGCCCAACAGGGTGGGTCAATGACAGAAGCAGACTATCCCTATGAGCAAGTAAAAGGTCAATGCAGAACTGACAAAAGTAAAATTGCTGTCACAGTCACTGGAGGAAGTCAACTTGGAGTTAACGATGAAGATAGTTTGCAAGATGCATTGGCTAATTATGGGCCCTTATCTATTGGTATGTAAAAAACTTTAGAACTTTAGTATACGTTTCATTTTGTATTTTATTTAGTGAAATAGACACTCCTGTCTATTTCACTATTAATTTCTTTCATGACTACGTATGTGTCTGTGCTTCTTAAGTTTTACTTTGTTGACTAGTCTAAGCTCTAGAGAATAAAGGGGATAGAATTTTTTTGGTATAACTTCTATTTGTTTCAGCTATTTGCTCTAACGACCAACTTAAGCAACAGAGAGGAAATTCAATTTTTACCCCCACAGTTTCTTGCCCCAGTAATAACCACGCTGTTCTACTTGTTGGTTATGGAAAAGGTAACATAAGTATACATTTTTTCAAATAGATATGTAACAATAGAAAATGCTTTCATGAGATATTTTATACTATATATTTGGGAGAGGTGAGATAATGAAATCCCCAACAAAGTGAGCAAAATCGTGCGCCTATTTAATTTATAGACATGTTGGTGATCAGCCCTCAATAGTCGGATAGGTTAACTATGGTGGTACTAGGTAAGTATACATAAGGTTCCTCATTGGACTAGTAAATATGATGGACTGAATATCGTGAGTATCCATATCGAACCCACCTAGAATTTAAATCTTGAGTGGGGTCGAAAATTTAATTTTAATTTGCTATAAGAAATATTTAATTTAAATTACAATATTTTCGGTGTTTTTACACACCTGTTTGACAGAAACATTGTCAGTCTCAATAGGGATTAGCCGCTGTTGAGTGGGCTAGAGAACATTAATTTAGACGTATTAAGACTAATTTCAGATGGTGAAACTGAGTTCTGGATAATTAAGAACTCTTGGGGCGTTTCTTGGGCAGATCAAGGGTACATCCGTCTCATTAAAGGACGACAAGCATTAAATATTGGGTCGTATGCTGCTCTTGCAACAGTCGCTTAAGAAAATATATATTTTACTTCTATATTAATATTAGATAAGATAATAATTTCAAAAAGATTTTGGACTGTACTTTCTGTGAAAATTGGAATAAAAAATCGTATACCGCAATCATATGTTGTTTAACTTTTCCCGTTCTAAGTTCTGCTCAATAATGTTTTATTTTTTAATTACATTATAATGCTTAAATTAGGTTAGGTCTCTACAAAAAATTTGGTACAATAACCGAAGTTCTGATAATGAGGAATTATAGGACAATGTATGTGTATTATTAACAATAACATATTCATGTGTAAAATTAGGCTAGTTTAAACGACTCTTGTGGATTTGTATCTAAAATTATTTATATTAAATCAGAAAGTTGTTTGTATTGACTTGAAAAAACAACTTTCTGATTTAATTTGTCGAGGAAAATTCTGGATAGCTTTAACCTTTTGTGGAAGTGGTCAGGTACCTGCAGAGGAAACGATGTATCCGAGCAATTCCAGTTGCGACTCATCAAACACGCATTTAGATGCATTAATCATTATTCCATAGTCCTGAAGGCGCTGGAATACTTGATGCAGGTGGTCCAGATGTTGAGTTTCGTTCTGAGAAGCTACTAAAATGTCATCAATGTAGGGTAACAGTAATGCAAATCTCGTAGTATTTCGTCCATAAAGCGTCGAAATGTTTGAGCAGCATTTCGAAGACCAAAACTCGTGAATGGAAACTCAAACATTGCAAATGGAGTGGTAACAGCTGTCTTCAGAATATCGTCCGGGTGAATTGGAATTTGGTTATATGCTCTAATTAAGTCTATTTTACTGAAGACTGAACATTCAGAAAGGTTATGAGCAATGTCAGCTATGTGACGAACCGGGTATCGGCCGGGTATTGTGCGTGCATTCAATGCACGATGATCGCCACATGGTCACCATTCGTTGTTTTTCTTCGGAACCAAGTGTAATGGCTATGGCCAAGGAATGTCAGATCTACGAGCAATACCTGATCTTACCATATCCTCGAGCTCCTTCACAGCAACACGGAGTCGATCCGGTGCCAACCGACGAGGACGACTGTAGACTGGAGGTCCAGAAGCAGTATCGATATGATGCAGCGTATTGCGTTTAACCTTTAGCATAAATAGACAGGTCTCCAGCTGGACGAGTGATGTCGGGAAACTG